AAAAAATTCTTGAAACTACATTTACGTATTGAAAAAGGTTAGGTTGTCTTTTAAATGGTGTATTTGTGAAATGAATGATACATTGCAGGTATGTGGAAAATGATATATCGATTAGGCTGCCTATTTGCTGTAATGAAATAAAAACTACGATGGATAAATTAGAAGAAATGAGCCTTATGTCGGTAGATTAAGAAGAAGTGATTCTTTTCTGAACAGCATTCAGTTCCGCACTGCACTGCTGATTTGTACAAAATCGAAACAATCAGAAATCATAGTTTTTACTTACTCTTTGCTTTTTCTGGAATTAAATTTTTCAGTTTTTTAATGAACAAATAAAAATATTTCAGCCGGATGACAGTTGAAGATATTTCAGTAAGATTTTTCAAATGTTGTTAGTCAAATTTTAAAAGAAATAAATAAAGTATTCATGCTGTTCTTAAAAGTTCACAAAGTTTTTTCTCTTTAACAGTTTTTTTCTTTGTTCATTAAAACTTGGTATGAGTTGAAATATATAAAATTTGACAATTCGGTGAAAAAAAGAATGTTCTGAATATGGTATCTTGATAATTTTTATAATTTTTATTTTTGCTTTGATTATTAGCACTATTATTGTTATCAGTGGTAATATTAGCAGTATTATTACAACTATTACTAATTTTTTTTTTGCTGTTATCGTTACCGCTGTTACCGATACTGTTATTAGGTTAAAAAAATTTTACTTTTAAAAAGATGTTTTATTGCCAAATTAAAAAAAATAAACGTTAAGAAATTATAACTATATGAATTAAGCGTTTTCTTTTCAATTAAGAGGAAGAGAACAATTAATGAAACAAGAAAGATTTCTTTTTTTTTCGCTTTGTTTCTGTTTTTGGTCATGGATATGTTAAGGTGTGCGCATAAATTTGAAGCTCTCGATCTGATAATCGTAATAATTAGAGCTGCTTTAAAACTTGATATTTCCGAATTGGTTGCCAGTGTTCACCGGAAACTTTGGAAAACTTGCACATTTATTTGCTCCTGTTATTTTTGTAGAAGTTGTTGAATCTGTTGGTTCCACTGATTCGTTGAGTTTTTTTTCTGCCATAGCAAAACTAATGGGAAGAAAAAGGAAAGAAAAAATAATTTGCAAACATGAAATTCTGTCTCCTAATAATGGTTTTTTTTTTGGGGGGGGGGGGGGGGGGGTTATATGTTTCCACTTTGACAAAACATGTGTTAAACGCTGTTGCTGTTGGTGTTACTGTTTTGTCTTCTTTTCGTTAAAAAAAAAAAAAAAAAGAATTAATGCTTTTTTTTAACAGTAACTGTTTTCTATGTTGGAAAATAAGGCAGATATTTAGTATATTATTGTAATAAATTTATTATCATCGTTTTTATACCAATTCAGTGATATTGTAGAACTGTATTTGCTAATAGATTTGTTTTTACTGCGGGTATTTCGCTGATGTTACCGTTTGTACTTCAAGTAATTTTTGAACACTAATCTAAATCTTTTAAGGCTGTTATAATGATTCTGAGGAGTTTGATTCTTCCAATACTTTTGGCTGGTTTAACATCTGGACATATATCGTTAACATTTCCACCGGCTCGATATCCACCACTTGATTTTTTGGATAATCTTAGGACACAACAACCTTGCGGTGTTCCTCGTCCTTTAGTGCGTAAGTTTTCCAATTTATTTTTGAGCGGTTTAGAAGAGGAGAAAAAAGGAGGATTTTGGTCTTTTATTTTATGACAACATTATAGTAGTTGACAATATTATACATTCTGAAGTGATGTGATGAGGGGTTTTTTTGCCTTATCTAAATTTTTGTTGAATTTTAATGAAGCTTTTTACAGAGCTGGATAAATAAGGCTTTGAACTTGAATTATCATAGGCGCACAGTCTAATGACGTTATTTATACAGACACACACATACACGAGCAAAAAAAAGTAGATAATAACACTGTTTAGTGTATGAAAATAAACGGAAACTGGAAAGGGGAATGGCTAAATTTGAGCATTTTTTTGTAAACTATTTTATAGCTGCTAAGTATAAATATTTTATGAGCAATTTTTTCTTTGAAATATTTGATAATGCAAAAAAAAGCACTTAAATTTTCTTCAACAGTTTTACACTTTTTAAATTCTCAACAATGGCTAATTGTAATTTAGCTCGATATACGGATCTTTATGTTGGCGAAACCTATAACATCAGTTGGCGTATGCAATTTGTTCATAAGGTACGTCTGAAATTATTGATGCTGCATATAATTACCTAACATATCATATGCTATCAACCAAAGTTTACTGTCATTTACACTGTTATGTTTTTGAAAAGTGAAAACGAAATTAAAAAAAGCTTTTTTTGATCTTGTTAAACAAAAAAAAAAACTTATTTTTGAAATTTAAATAAACTATACTTTAAAAAAAACTATAAAACTATACCTTAAACTAATTCTATAGAGCAATTTCAAAGTGTTATGCAAAAAAAAAAGTAAAGATTTTTTTCGTAAATTAAGCTATCAAAAATTTTAGTTCTATCGGTGATCTAAAAAAAGTGCATGAATAAATTATTGAAGATTTCTCGTATAACAAATGCTGTTTAGGGCGGCTTCCGAATAACACTGTTAGATGAAAATGGAAATAAGGTTGAACAAATTTTGCCAGTTTCTAAAGACAAGAATTTTACGGATGATAGTGAAATAATGTAAGTTTAGAGATTTGGATGGAAAAAAAAAACAACATTTTACATTCTAATAGGAAACGAACAATTTGGTCTTAGAACCATAAAAAGTGAAGAATGTTATTGCTGTTGTTGTGTCAATGTATGAAATGTTTACGGTTTAAGAACGCTTTCTGCGCCATATAAACCTCAACAATCCTGTCAGCACTGTATACTCCGAGTTGAAAAACAAGCACTTGACTTTGGGAAATCATATGAATTCTTTACCTGTGCCGACATTAATGTCTTGCCTGGTAAACCAACTGATGAAGATTTGTGTTTGGGTAACGGTGTTTTCAAGGACGGCAAATGTGCTTGTAAACCAATGTTTTCTGGAGAATGGTGCCAATTTAAAGGTAGAAATTTGAACAACAAAATTTTGCTAAATTATTTTTGTTCTAAAACACTTTTTCCGCTAATTGATGAATAACAAAGCAACAGTAAAGAATTGCAATTATGCGGTTTTAAATAGTTCTTAGTTTGTATGATTAATTTGTAATAACGTATTTTTATTTATTTAAGGAAAATTTAGTTAGATGGTGAGAAAAAAAACAGGTTTTGTAAAAAAATAAAAGCAATACAGTTTCAACAGAATATTTCCAGATGACTGTTCAAAAGATGAGGACTGTCAAAATGGAGGAAAATGTATGGAGCAAAAAAATTCAATAATTCACAATGCCTGTTTCTGCTCATTTGGATTTTACGGCATCAACTGTGCTCAAAGTATGAAACTGATAACCAATTTTAACACTCAACTTATTTTACTCTTCTTTTTGAACATTTTAAAAACTGAAAAAAATAAGATATTTTAAGGATTCTCAAACTATTTATCTAAGAGCCATTACAGAAGCTGCTTAATTAAGCTTCTAAACCAACTTCACTTATAAATTGTTTCAAAAGTAGCCTAAATTTTTTCTTCTTCATTTTTATTGTAGCTTTAATGGCAAAATATTTATACATTAAAATAATTGAATCTAAACATTATAAAAACAATTATAAATTTTATGAAAGATCTGCCAGAAAAGTGCTGAAAATTATTTGACAATGAAACTTGCTTATTATGCCTAATTGGGTTTCTTCTTCTTCGATCTGTTAAAGTACAATTGGTTGAAAAATTCAATTTCAAGACAAACCTGTATACTTTTTTTTCTGAAGATGTTCAGCATTTCAAATTCCAATTTCGGGCATAGATGAGTCAAAAGGAAAAATAACTGTTTTAAATTTAATTTTGCTAATTCTTCTGCAAATATAAAATTTGTTTTATGCGATAATGAAAGATAGTATTTCTGATTGCCGACTAGACTTTTGGATTGACGAACAGCAGTTATTATAAGATATCAAAGTGTAAAGTTTGCTTGCATAGATCTGTCAGCGAAAAAAAAAATGTCCCAATCATTTTAAAAAACTTTTTCAGTACTATTGGTTCTTTTTTTTTTATCGTCAATGAATTGTTTCATTTGTTCGCAAATCTGTAATTTTTTTGTTATTCAACAATTTCAGCAATGTAACTGAATAGCTGCACTTAACATTGATAAAAAAAGATAAATTTGATGAGATTAAGCTACTGGTATACTCACTATTTAAAAAACTAAAAAAAAAAGGAAAAAAGAACAGTTGATGTTTAGTGCTGCTCTAGTTACCTACTGTTCCGTACCGGTTTTAGAAAGCATTATTAAGGCAATAATATTTTGGCTTCAATGCTTTTGTTGAGACCAGTAGCGAAGAATTAATATCAAGTTTTGAACAGTTTACCTAACATAAACAATATCAGCATAGTCTTTTCTTACCAGTTTTTAGTTGGCTGATCATATTACCAGAAGAATCTGGGAAAAAAAGACTTGTTTGAAGAAATGAGAAAGATTTATTTTAAAAATTTTTAGAAAATTTTCGAAAAAACTTCTGGTAATATATACCATTGCCAAACAGCTTCTGTAACTCACAATGTAAATTTTTGAATTGATATACAATGCAAAGTGCTTTGTCAGATTAAAATTACGCCGCAAAAAAAAATTAATTATATCTTAGCTATAAAGAAATTTGAATTGAAGGTTTTAAATTTTATTTAAAGAAAAAATGAGATAAGCAAAAAGTGTAAAATAGGCAAAAATGATTTTAACCATTACAAACGATGTGTTAAGTGAAGAATTATAGCAATGACTAAAAAGCCCACCAATGACGAATGTTTCAACTTCCAAATGCCGCTGAAAAAGGAAACTTTTACCAATTATGGTCTGTTCAATTCAAAATGCTACAAAAAGCATATTTTAAATACAGACAATGTCGTATATTCAAGGGTTGTTGGGGTAAGGTTCTACATTCTTTTGTTTACTGTGTTTTTTTTTTTTGTAACGTTTTACACCAACAGACACTGAAAGAATTATAGACCGAGTTGGAATTAATCATCGATTATAAAGGCACTTCTTGGGTAGCATTGGGTTGGAGACCATTGGGAATCAACAAATCGTGCAGACTTTTCCCAGATCTAGAAAATATCAAGTGGAAACGAGATGTTGAGAATAAGACTTCTTTTAACAAAACAGAATCAGTGAAAGAAAGTGATAACGATAAAATTGAACCATTTGACCTGAAACCAGTGCAGAAAGCCGAAGAGCCAAAGAACAACGGATTTTGTAAAACTTTTCTTCATTTCAGCGAATAAGAATATAGAAAAGAAACATATATTTTTCAAACAAAATGCACTTAATATAAGTGGTTTTTTTTTGTCTGCTTTTAATAAATCCTAAAATACTCTTGCAGCTCTGATAAAAACCAATAATTTCTTTTCAGTATTGAATGCACTGGAAGCCGAGTTACATCCCATGGACTGTAGTGACATAATTACGGCATCAATTGTTGATGGATATCTGCGAATTAACGACATGTATTCCAGAGATAGATCGACTCCCCTTTCAGATACATGGTATATTGTGTTAAAGCCTTTCTAATCTATTAAAGTAATTATATAAATAAAAAAATTTGTTGTTGAAGTTCTAGACTTTATATGTTGAGGTATACTATGGTGAACTATACATTTATTTAAGGCTTATGGTATAATAAAGTTTTGCTTATCATAGGTAAGATGCAACAATACTATTTTTATCGGTAAAGTTAGCAAATTGTAATTTTTAAACCTTGTGCTGCAAAAGGACAAATTGAACTATCACCTCATAACCTTTTTCAGGTTTTCAATTTCAGATAGTTCCACAACCAAAAGTTATCATGTTTCTTACTTAATCCTTATAAGATCTACCTAAGAAATATCTTCCGTTGTCTATAACGAAGATTTTTCACGCTAAATTTTTGAACATCTTAAATATTGCTGTGCTTTGCAGGTTTGAAGGAGAGGAATCTTTGACTGCTGCCTATGGTATTGAGGTGGAAGGAAGGACAGTTGTTATGTTTAGAAGGGAAATTTCCGGTATGCGTTTTACATTAAGTGACAATGTTTTTTTTTTTTGCTATTTCTATTTCGCACCACCTGTTTATCGCTTCTATCTAGCGTTATATTTGAAACTTTAATTGACAGGATAAATTAGCTCTCTTAGCAAAACTTTTTAAAATTATATGAATTATTTCTTCAGTTGTTCTGTCTAAACAAACAATAAAAATTCTAAAACAATTTTAGAAATTGAGCCATCAGATCATCCACTTGGGCCTGGAAAGATTTTTGTTATTTATTCAAAAGGAATAGAAAAGGGAGCGGACATGAATGCTGGAAGAAACGTTACTGTCAATGAAGGAATGCAGGTTGAGAATAAGGACGTTTTGAACTACCACGGAAGTATGTCGCTTACACAGTATCATGTTTTTATTGTGTATTCATGCTTAATCTCTTGTAATGAAACTATGCAGCCTGTGCAGTCTGTCTCAAGTCTTCAAGTCTTCCCTTAAATGTTACCTAGCATTGAGACTGCTGCCCAATTCAGCTGAAATTTTTTGCTGCTGCAGGCTCGTATTGAAGTTTACGACATTAGGTACACTAACCAAGTTGGTCATTTGTAAAATAAAACGTGTAGTTGTTTAGTTTTAAAGTGCTGTAAATAATTATTTGATTCACTTGAACTCAAAAAATTCGTAAAGAGGACTCTGTGAGGCAAACATGAATAATTTTTTAGGAAATAGAGGTTCAACGACATTGGAATTTGTCGCTCAAGATGAATACCACAGGCCAAGATATTGGTCCCAGAGTCGCACTGACAGCGACTCGTCATCAAGTGAGTCAAATGCAGAACATGAAGAAAGTCGTGAGGGTTCAGATTCAAAAGATGATAAATCCCAGCAACATCACCATGACCAAGCGGAAATAGAAACCAAACCAGAACCACAGCCAGAACCGCAACCAGAACCTGAACCTACTGCAGCACCAGGAAGTGTAAGTCCAGATGCGGTTTTAAGTCTACAACCAGAACCACAACCAAAACCGGAGCCTGAAGCTTCACCAGAACCAGAGCCTACTCCGCAACAGACACCAGAACCTAAACCAGAACCTGAACCGCAACCAGAACCGCAACCAGAACTGCAGCCCGAACCTGAACCACAACCAGAACCGCAGCCGGAACCGGAGCCCCAACCGGAACCAGAACCCAGACCTTCACCTGAACCACAGCCTGAACCAACAAGCGGTCATCCAAACGAATCAGTCAAAAATCCTCAAGATAATAACAGTGGCAGCTCAAATAGGGTTCACGATTCAGACACAGCTCAAGAATCAACGACTGGAGAGGCGACTACCACAGCATCGGCAAACTACTGGTCGCAAGGAATTCTTGCACTGTCTTTCTTATGGACTTTGATAATGAGTACATTAGTAACATCGTTGTTATTGTAGTGTCCTAGAAACGTTGATCGTTTCACTGTCGCAACCGAAAGGTAGTGCAATAATTTGTTATTTTTTCAACTTCATTTTTTTTTTAGTTTTTTATTTATTTTTTACTTTTTATTTTTGCTGAACTAATGAGGAATCAACCAAAAATAATGCTGTTGTAGGAATTACTACATAATTTACGGCATAATGAATTTCAAAGTGTTGCGTTAATCACTAATATTTAAGTATTTATTATTAACATAGAGTAGCGCAAATGTATATTTGAATGTACTTGTTTTGATTGGAACCTGAAAAATAAGATTGTGAAATAAAGAAAAAGAAAATTGTGAAAAAAATAAAAGAAGAAAAAAAAGCTCATCATCAACAATTTACGGTGTTTCTAATAACTCACAAGTTATGTAAAAAAGAAATGAAGTTATAACAGGAATAATCTGTGATTAGTTTAGTGGAAACCTATAGCATTGTTCTACCAGCTATTATGTTCATTCTTAGGAGGGACCAGTTGCATAAGGGTTTGCATGACAGGGGTGCATTTTTTTGAACAACAAAATCCTGTTTTTAAAGTGTTTCTTTTTTTCAGTTACATAAAAGTTTTAAACATTTTTTATTTTTTTACTTTTACAGTTCTTTCGCTGTCTTTTATTCTTTTTCGCAAACATTGTACATTTGAACTATATAAGAATACTAGACTTGCACACTAGATTTAAGCAGCTAAAAAAGCATGTGACATTTTTCAATAAAATACAGAACAAAAAATAATAATAATAATAATAATGAAGAAGGAGAAGAAAATGTTTTTGTGTAATAACAAAATACAAAAAAAAAAAACTCAAAATTGATTTTGTTTGCCATAAATATTTTCTATCTTTTAAATGTTACATTTGTAAAGACAACAAAGTCAAAAAAAAGAAATAAAAATAAAAGAAAAACAATGTCATCAGAAAAAATTTCAATTACATCACAGTCTATTCGGGTTTCTTTCTTTTTTTTAACTAATGTTTTTCTTCTAAAGGGAGGTGGGGTAGGGGGGGGGAAGGGAGAAGGGGCAGTGGAGGAAGAGAAGAAAGTAGAAGGAATCAAATTGAGTGTTGTTGTTCAAAAAGTGAACCAAAAAGTTGTAAAAAAAAATAAAGCACTGTTTTTATAGGCAACAAAATTTATTTGGTATATACCCTAATGACATTTTATGTGTGTGTATTTCTATTTTTTTTTTTGTTGTTGGCCAAAGAAAATAAACATGTCGTTTATCGGCTTTTAATACTGCACTGTTTCTATGGGTTAATACAAATACACAGCAACAACAACAACAACAATAATAATACGCTAATTACAGCAAAAAAAATGACAAAAATTGTTGCTACAAACTGAGAATTGCTGCTTAAAACATCAAAACATCAATGTCAATTATACTTATTTTTGTGCCTTTCAAAATACTTTACAAATGTATCAACTTCAAAGTCGATTTCAACTGAGTCATCAACAAAACTGTTGCTGTGCTTTCACTGTTGTAATCAAAAGTTTGTTTTTTTTCCCCCTCATTTTTCATCGTTTTAATGTAATAATTGCTATTCAACAGTTGCTGATGGCCCATGTAAACTCTAATTGATGACTGATTATGAAAATTGTTGATGAATTCAGTAAAAGTGAGTCAATTTTTTCTTTTTTTGCATTTCTTTCTTTTTTTTTTTCCTACCCTCTTGCAAACTTATATATTTCTTATAGCCTTTTTGTATAATAGCCTTTTATAATATGATCTGTGATAAGTTGAGAAGAGAAACTGAGTAACGATGATAGAAAATTTTAATGCAAAAAAACTGCATTTAATTGATTTTGTTTTTTTTTTTTTTTAACATCAACAATAATTTTCATTAA